CTTTCCGCGTGCAAGCGTGACCGGCAGCATGGTCGGCATACGCAGCCCCGCTTTCAGCAAGGGCGTGAGCGTGCCGGGCTGGCACTGGCACTTCATCTCGAACGACAAAAGCTACGGCGGCCATGTACTTGCCGCAGGCGTGGTCAGCGGCGTGGCGTGCGTGGCTTCGGCGCACCGCGTCGAGCTGCAGCTGCCCGCCAACGATGACTTCGCAAAATCAGACCAGACCAAAGATCGGACGCTTGAGCTGCATTCGGTTGAGAGGCAGCAGCATCAATAGAACTGGCAGTAGATGCCAAGCAAGATGAGTGATCCAAAAAAGAAGTACGGTAAGGTAGTCGGGGCACCGAGCAGACGCTGGACTGAATGCCTCAGTCAGCCAAATAGCCAAGGAGTAACTGTCGACCGCGAGCTTGTCCTTCAGATATTCTTTTCACCTAAAGCTGATCGAATAGCTTTTTCGTACGCACCAGCTTCAGGCAAATTGGTCGGAGAACTGAAAGCGATCTGTACCTGCTGAACAGTTGTAGTTTTAACCGGGAGCGCCTTGATAACCCTCGGGATGCCAGCTCGGTTAGACGCCTCAAGACGCATGGGAATGAAAGTCAAAGAGTTGTTCTTTAGCGGATAGTCGGCCAACTCACTGCCGAGTCTGTCCATTATTTTTCCAAAAACAGCTTCGGGACATGCGAAGAACAAGCCGCTGTGACAAAGCGCCTCCCGCTCCAGCAAATGCCCCTTATATATAAGCTGAGGGAGAATCCGCTTATTAACATTTTCCCAATTGGGTCCGACCGATTTTCCGACGTGCGCATGGCGCGCTAATATCGCTGCGCGCTCAGCCCTGTAGCTTCCAATGGTGTCCATGGTTTGTACTTCCAGAGCGGCAAATTCAACCAAATTTTTTTCAGAATCAAGGCGGGCGAGTATCCAATCAACAAAAAAACCGCTGCTTCGTCGCCCCTTCAGCGGACGCCCTGGAACCTTGAGCTCTCCGCCCCAGCCTTTTCCGAATACTGCAACCAACTGAGTATTTTTGGGCGCTGAAGCAATTCCGGCCTTTCGACCATCGACTAACTTGACCTTATTAACTTTGAATGCAATTTTTGCAACCGTCGACAGAAGTTCATATTGATCTGCGTACAGCCGTATCGGACAAATCACGACTGCTCCGCCGTCTGTGTCAGAGATAGTACAAACGCCGGATCGGATCCGATTCTCTGCGCTGCCAATTTCTTTTGAACAGAGCCCCCCGACCATTGGGCACGTCTGCTGTGTTCTTGCTGCAATAGCTGCAGCAGAGATATCGCTCGGCTCATAGCCGAACAGTTCCAGGATTTTCTTAGCCATTTACCGCTAAATCTTCAATTGCGACGTGCTCCGCCAAGTGATTTCTCACTGAATCAGCAATCGCTTTGGCCATTAAAACTGGAACGGCATTCCCCACCTGTACATATTGAGAAACCCTTGAGCCAAGGAATCGATAGTTATCAGGAAAAGATTGCAACCTTGCAGCCTCACGCACAGAAAGCGTACGCTCCTGATCTGGCAAAAAAACCGTGCCCCAGTGAGGGTCACATTTAGTCAGAACAGTACCGGACATGCCGTCAAAGCTAAGTCGGCCATAGCGTTTGGTGTGATCGGACTTGCGCGCCTGCTGCATTCCCCGTGGTAGCAAATCATGGGGAATATCACGCCAAGAGCCACCGGGCGGCACATGGCGCATCCGCTCGATGTTTTGCCGTGAAAGTTTGGCGGCATAGTGATTAAACGTAATTCCCTCGGGGTTTCGCAATCGCAAAGCATAAGCACTGGTCGGATCAGCTGTGTAACCGACCTCCTCAGCCCCTTCTCCCATACTCAACCTAGGTAAATCGCGAATCGCATCACCTACATTGACTGCAGGTAGCAAACGCATTGCATCGGCAGGAGCTAGGGGAATCGTCAAAGTACTACCACCACGAAAATTTGCACGACCTCTGGCAAAGTGTGTCGGACTAGGGTGAGAGATTTCGGCGTATTGTGAACCCATCAAAATGAGTCGCCATCGCTCTTGCGGTATTCCGTAGTGTGGCCCGTAAAGAATTTTTACCGACAAGTGATATCCAAGTTCATTGAAGACCTGAAGCACTTTTTCGAAAATCGCACCATCCGCCATTGATAACAGGCCAGGCACATTCTCAAACACAAAAGTTTTGGGAGAGAACTCTTCAACGAATCGAGCGTAATGCTTGAACAAGCTATTCCGGGGATCACTAAGGAAGCGATTAGGCGCATTGATTGAAAACCCCTGACATGGAGGGCCACCTACAAGAACATCCAGAGCTCCCCTCTGAATGCCCAGCTTTTTTCTCAGAGTTGTCGCACTCACTTCCTCAATAGATTTGCATTCAGCCAAGGTAGAAGGGTGGTTATGGCGAAAGGTATCGATTGCCTCCGGCATAAAGTCGTTCGCATAGAGGCAGTTATACCCAGACTGCTGGAATCCTTGTGTGATGCCCCCCGCACCGCAAAACAGATCAACGCTGTAAAGCGGTGCGTGATACGGCTTTGGCGCAGGCTCAGACGCAACGAGTCGAATATTTTTAGTTCTTTTTGGAGCGCGTTTTTCCATGAATTCACCTACTGTTTAAATAATCAGTACTTCTATCATATCGTCAACTATGCGGGCGAAATGAATAAATGCTGTAAGACACAACGTGCGGGTCTAGCAGACAACAAGGTCTGGGGACTTTAAGCATGCAAAGCTGCATACTCACGCACCGACGGAATATGCCGCGGCAGACCTTTGCACTTTAGGCCGCACAGCACCCAGCCAAGGCAGGCCAAGCAGACCGCACGTGGGATGGGATTTTCACGATCACGGTAATAAATCAGCATGCGCCGCGAGATGCCGAGTGCCTGGGCTGCTTGCTCCAAGGTCAGCCCCGCGTCGTTCAGCCAGTTCCAGATGCGCTCATGGCCAATGCCACCAGCTTGCTCGATGGCCAGATTGCGCAGGTTGTCTGCGCCCAGATCAAGCTCAATACCTTTGGGATCAACCCAGTCAACTGAATGGCCTTCCAAGCCGAGTTTGGCTTTGGCAAAAAACGCAGCATCCTTTAAAGCAGCCAGCGCCCTGGTGGAATTAACCCACCGCTTCAGGTCGACGGTCAACACCTGGCCATCAGCAAAGGTCAAGGGCAATCGCAACGGTGCCATTGCCTTGACGGCAGACAGCTGAGGATGGTCTTTGCGCATGATGGCAACTCCCGAAAAATTTGGCTCTTACGATTCGTCTTCGACGCTGGTTCGCATCGCAACCATTATGGAGTGCAACAGTTGCACTTTTTACGCTATTAATGCCCAGACTTAAATCTCGTTATCGGCATACCCCGACTCTCGCTGGTGCCTGATGCGTGCAACCAAGACAACATCGCTCATTTCCTTGAATTCATATCGGGCTAAAAATCCACTTCTGCCGCGCGAAATAATGAGTTCACGAAGCCCGTTCTCTATCGGGCGTCCAATGCTCGGCTGATGGGTTAGCACCTGAAGAGCGTCCATGCTGAAGTCAATGAGTTCATAGACCAGCGGGTCTTCCGCCTGCCAGAGGAATGCTTCAATGCGAACCAGATCAGCGAAGGCCGACTCGCCCAGATAGACACGGGGCATGTCAGGCGATTTTTTTGAGGGGCGGAGCCTTTGGCTTTGCGACTTTGCCCAGGCGATGTGCGGCCAGGGCAGAAAAGTACCGGCGCACATCGGCAAGTTCGTGGCCTTTGCCAGTCTTCTTCATGTCGTGAAGTGCGTCCAGTGAATCCTGCTGGAACTGCTCGCGCTGATGCGCCCTTTCAGTCGCCTCCATGAGTGTCTGAACCATAAAGGCGTGTGCTGTGACACCCGATTTGTGGGCCAGTGCTTCAATTTCCGTCTTGAGCGCTGTGGGTAACTTCAGGCTTGTAGGCGAGGAGGAAACGCGAGACAAGACGGCTTTGGCTGTTCTGGAACTACCCACAGCGGTTGACGGCTTGACTGACTTTAGTTTGGAGGCAGAGGCGATGGATGGCATGTATTATCACAATCCCGGTTAAAGGTAGTCAAATATAACTACCGCCAGTCTAGCATCTGAAGGAGATCTGCCAAAGCAAAGCCAGACTGTTGAAAGACTTAAAGCAACCCACATCGTCAGGCGTGATGCCAACCGCGGACAAGCACGAGCAGTTCAGCGGCGAAAGCGGACGATCACCGGGGCGGCCGCACTCTCCAGCGGCTCAAAAGCCTGCAGCATCAACTCAATCGCGGCATCTTCGCTGTAACCGCCCACACCCGCGCCAAGTGCAGGGAATGCAATTGACGTGAAGCCCTGCTCGCCAGCGATGGCCATGGCAGACCGCACAGAACCCTGAATCGATTGGGGCGAAGCACGCCACCACATGCTTATGCCCGCCGCGTGAATGATGCCGCGAAACGGCAGGCGCCCGGCAGACGTGAGAACCGCACCACCCAGGGGTATGGCGCCATGCCGGCCGACCTCGATAAACGGCCGATAGCCGCCCCGCTGGCGGATGGCACCTGCCACACCCTGATGCCACAGCAGCCACCAGGGAATGATGTTGCGGTTCCACGGATTGACGATGGCATCGACCTTCTGGTCGAGCAGGTCACCGTCAACGATGTGCGGGCACATGGGTCGGGGCCTCTGCTTTCAGGCCCGATGAAAGAGCCGGCAGAAAAACCTGTACGCCCGCTCGATCAGCGGATTGGCCATGGCGGGAATGTATTTGTCCATGACACGTATGTTGATCAGGTACCAGAGCGGCACCACGACAAACAACGCCCACTGCGGCCAGTGAACGGCAATGCCGGTCGCGATGGGCAGCACCACGCCCCAGCACCAGCCGAGCAGCCGGTTGACCGACACGTACCACGAAGAAGGCGGTAGCAGAGCGGGCAGTTTTTCAGTCATCACGCAACTCCTCAACAGGATTTATCTACGCGCTTGAAGCATGCTTATGAGAGTCGAAGGTCGATGAAGGCATGGCAGGCGGCCAAGGTATGGCCTG